AGAGTCTGTTTTCTGATAGGTAGATCTGGGTATCTTCAAGGCCTGAGTGAATAGGTTTGCTTATGGGCAGACATGCTCAATCGCAGGCTGCATCATCGCTTAACACAAGACGAGACAGTGCCTAAACAAAAAAAAAATATTCCCTTCGTGCCTTTTTTATAACAGAGAGACACCTTCAGAAGGTGTCTAGCTTTTAGGAAATAAGACTGAAAAAAGTAAGATTCTTACTTCACTGAATCCATACCATGGTGATCACGAGTCACAGGATCCTCTGGAACTCTAAATAAACAAGCACCGAACTTCACCGAAGCCCCATTATGTAAAATGTAACACCTTTCACTTCAGACAAAGGGAAAGGATTTATAGCAATTATTTAAACACTATACGTTACTTTTAATAATAACAGTAGTGACAATATTACGTTCACCGTGTGAGCGTTATAAACCTTGACATTCTAAAAAAAAACAACTGATATAAATACCAGTTATTCAAAAACAGTTATCGTTTCACTACGTCACAACACTACAGCGACGCGGACAGGGAACACCGCTATAAAAATAAACAATCTGCTATCCTGCTTGTGTCGCATACGACGTTTTTAACGAAGCGTATCATTAAAATATTATCTGTTGTAGACGGATAAAGGTCGTTAGTACCATTGCGTGTAGTGGCGAATTTGTTACATAAGCGCAAATCTCATTCATATTCTGTTGAGATATACAATGGGTCTATCGGGATGTTTGTTAGTACAATGTGATCGTAAATTCCTAATCAATCAATGTGTCGACTTAGTTTTGTGAATCCTAATTAGGTGGGTGCTGACTTATTTTAAGATATGTTGCTATACTTTAAAGTTTAAAATTATGTGTGTTTTTATTTGTCTGCCACATTAGTGTCTAAAATGAGGAAGTTATTGTCTTACCTGTGTGGTATGGTATCGTGCAAGTATAGGTGTGGGAGAGCCATGTTCTAACACGACTGGGTCGGCTCGACCGCAGTGTAGCACGGCCTCACAGAAACCTGGTGTGACGAAACAACTAGAGCGTTGTGTTTCGTCGTGCAAGTAAAGTTATGGGAGGCCTAATTCCTTCCCAATGTACCCTTTTCCCCAATCCCTAAATACCCAATCTTGAAATACCTAACCGCCACTTATAACTCCTTTGGAGTTGCGGATGCATCTGTATGAAAAAAATCATTTATACAGGTACCTATGTAACTGGCTTATTCACTTATTGTTATTCTCAACACACAATCCCGTACTTACCTCAGTTGTGGCCTGCTAAAACTTCAAAAACTAATGTTATCCTTGTACGCTTGTGCCATGCAAATTTCGACCTTATACGCTTATTAAGCTTGGAACAAAACAAATGAAAATAACATTACAAATTAACATTCAGAATGACTATAAAAATATGAACTTTATTTCTTACTAGCTCTTACCCGCGGCTTCACTCGCGTCACAAAAGTATAAAAAGTAGCCCATGTGACATATACCAATACACACAGCGCCATCTATACCAATAATTTCGTTTTCCTTCGAGAATATCAAATTTTTCCGGGATTAAAAAGTACCCTATTATTTAATCCAGACTTCTAACTTCACGTCCGTAAAAATTCAATGCAATTGGTTTAGTATTTACGGCGCAAAAGTGGAACAAACAAACAAACTCACTTTCCGATTTATAATATAAGTAGGGAAGTAAGGACTAGCTGACACGGCAAACTTCGTATCGCCCTTTTCTCACCTTCCCTGGACTTTCATAAACATTTCAAGACCAAAATTATCCAAATCAGTGCAACCGTTCTAGAGTTTTAGCGAGACAAACGAACGGAAATTCATGTTTATTTTTATAGATATCTTAAGGGACCAACATTGGTATTTAATACTTTGAGTACCGTCATTATAGACACAATTAAAGAACAATAAGTTGCGGTCACCGGTGTCCTCGCGGTGTTTGACAGTTTAAGATAGTTATTGTGTGTGTTTCAAAAGAGACGGTCTAAGTTTGTGAGCGTTTGAGAAGAAATGCTCAGAGTAGTTAGGAAATGCAGGCGTTCATCATTCGCTTGACAAATTGTATGGTTGGCAGGCCACAACTGCGCGCTTCTCACAATGCTTCCTGCCTCGCACAGCAAAACTGTGGAATGATCTGTCATCGGCAGTATTTTCGAAACGATACGACCTTCAAACTTTCAAGAAAAGAGCGTATTCCTTTTTATAAGGCCGGCAACGCACCTGTGACTCCTCTGGTGTTACGGGTGGTCATGGGCGGCGCTGATCACTTACCATCGGGTGATCCGTCTGCTCGTGTGCCTCCTAATCCATAAAAAAATTAACGTGTAAAAGTATATTCACTTGTTATTACAGTTTAGTATTATCTCGACACTTTCCCATCTCAGAACGAATTTGGAATCTTAGGCATTTACTCTTGATGGATGAATTAATGACTACCGCGATCAGACTTAATCATCTAAATGAATAGTCAATCAAAAATCATCATTGACAGCCAATTACAATGTATAATGGACTACGGGCCTTCTTTACACAAGTGACGGCACGGTTAGGGCGGTGGCTGGACAACTGGCTGCCGCGCAACGCGTCGCGGTTTCGTTTCCCGCGCGGAGCAACTCTTTGTGTGATTCACAGATTGTTGTTTCGGGTCTGGGTGTCACGTGTATGTGAACTTGTATGTTTGTAAACGCACCCACGACACAGGAGAAAACTCCTAGTGTGGGGCAACGTTTTTTTTTAAGTAAGATTATCGAGCTGTGTGTTTGCTAGGCCGGTTGGAGACCACAGTTTAAAAGGTTCAGATGTATCAGACATTAAAAATAATAATAAATAATAAAATTAAAAATTAAAAATTAATAATAAAATTAAAAATGTAAATATACTGAGAAAAGCCTCTTTGATTTCATTGAAGACAATGAGAAAGATTCCCTCTGTGACTTGAAACTATATAGTAGAGCTTTCTCAGTATTTTTAGGTGCTCCATCGTAGACCGCATCATCAATTACCACCTGCAGATATAGCCAAATGCGATTTAGCGCTTGTCTATAATGTAGAATAGAAAACCAAATTATATGCAATTGACGTAAATTTTGACACTTGTCAATGTCATCCCCATACATTTAGTTTTCTACTCTCTCTGTAGACAAGCGCTTAAGATGCGTTTGGCACAGGCGAGATAGTGGTCAAACGTCGACCCATCAACTATGAAAAAAAAACGTAAGCGTAAACATAAACTACGTATTTATTTTTATATTGTTTTTACTAAATGTACCTATTGCACTAAGTTTGTCAATAAATGTACCTGCGCACCAATTTTATGTAACAACTTTTGTAAAAACAAGATTTGTTCCCTGCATTACTCATTAACCTAACTCATATTTTTTTAGTTAATTCAGTATGTCTCACGATACTTCTTATAGAAAGTGTAATGTTAACAAAATCGTAGTTAAATGGTTTTCTGTGAACTGAGATTAAGAAAATTACTGGAAACTATGCAGAGCTGCGTCTTTTTTCTTCTTTAGCTCTCACAACACTAGCCAGAAGTATAGAAATTATATTCTACTGTGCTATCACCACATACCTATCTAACCAGCGGTTGCCCGCAACTTCGTCCGTGTAAAATATGAATTTTAGAACATCTATTCTATTTTATTCAGGATTATGTTTTTACTAAGAAGTACCTACTTAGTACACCAGCCAATAAAAGTTTTGCAAAATCGGTCCAGCCATTTCAGAGATTAACCAGTACCAACCGACAGACAAAAGTTGTAAAAAATCTTAGTTTGGTATATGTATCGTATGTATATTCATATGCATGTAGTAAAAAGCGGTTATTAATATTACTAACAGACATTCGAATTTTATTTATCTGTATAGATGCAATTATAGAAATTCAACCAATAGAACACATACCTCATTAAACAGATAAACTATGCATGTTCAAATCTTGTATCGATTTATACAATAACGTTCGATTGCGTAGTCTGCTCGAAGGAACCTTGACCTCATTGCAAGTCGGGTCAACGGCCGGTAAATAACCAACCAACGCTTTGTTGTACAAGATAAATTATACAGTGTGACTGCTGAGAAATGAGAGCGAATCATAATGTTCCATATTTATCCTGGACCAGCTGCGGGGTGTTACTTCGCTTCCAGAAATATTTATAACTTTTCAATAGTTGATTTTATAGTTAAATTCACACTAGTCATCATCATCATCATCATCATAACATCACGCCTTTTATCCCTGAAGGGGTAGGCATATTAAGGTATATTAAGGCACTTACACTGTACAATGTAACACCCACTTTTCACTATTTATGTTATGAGTCCCATGTAATAGGGGGTGAGCCTATTGCCATATGCCGGACACAATTCCAGACTCCGTGCTACTACTGAGATTTTTTTTAACAACCCAGTAATACTTTACCCGACCTGGGAATCGAGCCCGAGACCCCTTGCCCGGCAGTCGCATTTGCGACCACTCGGCCAACGAGGCAGTCAGATTTTTATTTCAATAGTTAAATTTAAAGTTAAATTCACACGAGTCATACGGTTAATGTAATTTCCATGCATTGAAGTTTTGTTTAATATCTTTCAGTAACTTTTGACTTAATTAACCCTTCTTGTAACAATAAGTGTCTTAAGAGAGTACAGAAAATCGGTAGGATTTAATCAGAATGATTACTGCAAGAGCTATAGCACATTTGAACGTTTTATTGCGCTGATGTTTGCAAAGGCGCTGATACTTTTATCAGAATATCAGACTTTTATCAAAACCCAATAATACTTTGCCCGACCCGGGAATCGAACCCGAGACCCCTTGCCCGGCAGTCGCACTTGCAACCACTCGGCCAACGAGGCAGTCATTCATAATATTAGTGTGATATACTGTTATACCGCAGAGCCGTCTCTTGGACAAAAATGAAACTCAAAATAAATTACGTACACGTCTATATTACATTCTTATTAACAAAATAAAAACTAATTAACGTAACCATTTCTTAGAAAATAATTCTTGAATGGCATAAACTGACAGTCCTTTGGTCTCTGGCAAGAAGTAAAAGAAGAAAATAGCAGTAGAGAAGCACATAAAAGCGAAGAAGTAAAAGACAGGTACCAGGCCCACAGAACTTATGAGGAGGTTGAATATAAATTGGACAAAAAAGCACATTGTCCACGACCACTCCACTGCTAGCATTGACATTATGCTTTTTACCTGAAAATAAATTAAAATAATTAATGGTTAAATAGATATTAGTACGTTTGATAAAAATGAATTCGTCAAAACACTGATTTTTTAATGAATGTGTTCCTTAGTTCGCCAGCTGTCTACAAAAACCGTAGCGAAAGGGAGATCCCTCCCGAGGGAAAGTGGAGGCCACAGAGGAGGAGGCTCAATCAAGATTTTAAGTGTGGGAGAGCCATGCTTCGGCACGAATGGGCCGGCTCGACCGGAGTGATACCACGGCCTCACAAAAAACTGACGTGAAGCAACGCTTGCGTTGTGTTTCGTCGTGTGAGTGAGGTAACCGTAGGCCCAATTACCCTCCCCTTCCCCAATCTCCCCAATCCCTGAATCCCCAACGATCTTCAAACTCCTAATCCCCAAAAGGCCATGGGCGACGCTGATTGCTTACCATCGGGTGATCCGTCTGCGCGTTTACCGGCTTATGCCATAAAAAAATAAAGACCTTATAGGGAACTTAACTTTAGATAATATTAAATATTATATACATCTCACCTCAGGTAAAAACACTTCAGCCAAAATAACTACAGGCACGGTTCCAGCCCCAAACGTATAGAACATCGTGTATACGTATATAAACATGGGAATTATCCACGTAGGCCCCCACTCCGTCAGGATCTGCGTTCCTAGTACCACGCAGCAGAAACCAGCAGCTATTGATGAGTAAATTATCAGCGGCTGCGAAAAAGATGTTTTATTATATTTACTGTTCATTTCATTCATTCATGAGTTGAATTAATTAATACTAAGAATCTAAATTAAGCGAATGACTCAGTCCTATGTTTATGTAATTAAGTAATTATATTTACATATTCATTCGTTATTTCTGTCATCATCTTACGCACCGTTGCAGTGTCGTTTAAGTAAAATCTCAAAGGGCGCAAGTCCCGAGTACAATACAATAAGGATAAAACTGTATAAAAAAGCAGGCTACATTATGTTTCTATAATAACTATCATGAGACATATTGAATTAACTAAAAAATTATGAGTTACTCACACAAATACACTGAGAAAAGCTTTATTAGCTTCGAGACACAGAGGGACTTTTACTTATGAGCAGCGTCGCCACAACCGTTTACACGAGTAACTCGTAATTTTATAGTTAATTCGGTTACATTCTATTCGAAAGATGGAATCTATTACCCCCGTTCCCCAATCTCCCTAATCCCTGAATCCCCAAAAATCTTCAAAATCGTAATCCCCAAAAGGCCGGTAACGCACTTCTGGTGTTTCGGGTGTCCATGGGCTGTGACAATTGCTTACCATCAGGTGTTCCGTCTGCTCGTTTACCGGCTTATTCCATTAAAGAAAACTCTCAAATCATTTATTTAGAATAGACCAAGAAGACACTTCCGAGAATAAAGAAAAATTAAGTCCCTAAACGTAAGCCTGAGATTCTGAGTCTCTGATTCTTGTAAAGAAGAATGAGTAAGAAACTCCATATATTTTACTCTTTCTCAATCAGTTTTCAAGTGGTTTTCCAATTGTGGGTTTCATGTTAAACAAGTTCAATCAGGTGAGAGCAATGTAACAACCAGAAAGACTGTCTGACTGTCCATGGGCGGCGCTGATCGCTTACCATCAGGTGATCCGTTTGCTCGTTTGCTTCTATTCCATAAAGAAAAAAGAAAGAAAGAGAGAAAGTAAATGATAAAACACTATGTCCACATCTAGACGGAGATAACATAGGTACCAGGAATTTATAAACTCTAAATAGTAGAAGTTCACTTACCCGTCTCCCAAGAATATCAGTCAGAAACGCAGATATACTGCCAGCGACAATCATGACGACTCCCATGAGCACACTGCATAGATTCGGTGAGATGACGTCACGAGGCACTGCTTCAGCAAACATAGGCTCTGCGTAAACCTGCACTACTGGTAGTCCTTGCATAATATACGCTACTTTCAAGGCCATTATTATGTAAAACTCGCGACGAGTAGACGGTGAATTTTCTGAAAATGATAGAAAAAGAAATAATAAACCTTACAAAGTTGTGACAACAGAAGTAAAAACGGTTATTTTGATATTATAAACAGACACTTCAATTTTATTTATACAATACTAGCTTCTGCCCGCGACTTCGTACGCGTAATCCCACTTTTTCCCGTCCCCGTTCGTGATTTTCGGTAAAAAGTAAAAAAAAATGTGGGTAAAAGGTATCCTATGTCGGTCTCCTGGCTCTAAGCTACCTCCCTACCAATTTTCAGCCAAATCTATTCTGCCGTTCTTGAGTTATAAGTGGTGTAACTAACACGACTTTCTTTTATATATATATAAGATAATTATAGATACTTACTGAAAAATTGCCAACAAGACACCTTCTTATTCTTTGGCAAAGGAGCTAGGCTTTCATCAGTCGTTGTCAAAGCCTGAACGTCTGAAAATGAAAATAAAGTCTTTGTTAGTCGAATGGTCGATCCAATTCCTAAGTTGGACAAAGTTCAGTTGGGTCTTTTTGCTATCGGCTCGTATCATTAGGTCTTCTATTACTCCGGAGCTGCGGACCGCTAACCCTCCTCCTAACCTCTAAGATCACCCCTATGCTCATAACGTTATTTATTTATTTTATTTTTAGCCATGGTCGTCCCACTGCAGGGCAAATGCCTCCCTACTCTCCTTTCACTCATCTCTTCTTAAAGCTTTCTGTGGCCAATCCTTTTCATAGGCGTCAAATTAATCCCGCCATCTCCTTCTGGGCCTACCGCGACGTCTATTGACGTTGAGTGGGCTCCACTCAGTAGTGAGTTTTGCCCACCGCTCGTCTGACATGCGGCAAACATGACCAGCCCAGCTCCACTTCAAGCTAGCGACTTTATGGCCAACGTCAGTGATTTGAGTTTTATTTATAACGTAACTGATCAAAAGAGTATCTACTGTGTTCCACGTATAGGGTACGCCTCTGCCTATTCCTATAAGATTAGAATGTATAATATACATATAATAAGATTACCATCTCCGTTGACGTTGAAGATCCGCCGCAGTTTGTCTATTTCTTGCAGAACTTCTTTAGATGTAGTCTTTTCACTTCTATAAAACGCTATCGATTTCGCAGCGTCCTGTAAAGAAACAAATAATTAGATAATTTATAACATACTAAGGGCTACTGTCCACGTAACCACGCGGCATTCGCACGCTTTCGTCAATTGACGGATGAAATACGAATGCTTGCATCTTTTTTATGGGATAAGCTTGTAAACGAGCAGACGGATCACCTGATGTTATAAATCAAAGTCACCGGCCTTTTGGGGAGTAGGAATTAGAAGATTGTGGAGGATTCGGGGATTGGGGAGACTGAGGAAAGGGGGTAATTGGGCCTCCGGTAACCTCACTCACACGATGAAACAACGCAAGCGTTCACATCGGTTTTCTGTGTAGCCGTGGTATCACTCCGGTAGAGCTTATTCGTGCCGAACCATGTCTCTCCTACACTTAAAAACGCATCTTGCTTAGAAACAATCAAAACTCTGTGCACGTTGCGGCAACCGCACGTCATGCTTACCCAATAACAAATATGCAAGCTTGCTTCGTTTCAAGGACTTTTTTAAGCGGGAAAAATCGTCGAATGGTTTCTCCCGCTGGGCGAGGTGGGAAAGAGTGTCAGACTCTTACTGCCTAAAAAAAAACCACCCCGTTCCTACTCCTGCACTTCGAGCCGGAACCCCGGTAACCATTTTCGTTCTCCGTATCGTGTATTGGGTCCATCCGTGGTGGTGTAATATATCTCGATGAGGCGCGCGCGGAAAGTGACGCGCCGTACGTTCGAGTCTGGTTCTGGTCGGGTGGCGGTCGTTTTAAGGATACATGCATTTGTTAAATGTATACTGAGTGGTCGTGGTATCATTTCCAGTAAAGCCGATCCATACGCTGAAACATGTCGCGGAGAACCTAACGGTAAACCGGGGCTCTGGTTCGACGTGTAAGAGAAGGAACGGGGTGGTATTTAGTCAGAGTAAGAGTCTGACACTCCCTTCCGCCTCACCCAGGCGGGAGCAGTCATTCGATGATTTTCCACCATTAAAAAAAATACGCTGAACCATGAATCTTTTACACTTAAAGTAAATTTCTAATCATATTCACCTCTTCACGACCCTTAGCCATGAGTGTCAATGGGGATTCCTTGAGCATGGACAGCAGTAGCACTCCAACGACGGACAGTGAGAGACAGGCGTACACCATGTGGTGGTAGCTCAGACACCCGCCAAGGAAGTAGGAGACTAGGATCCCGAACCCATAGAACTGCATCGGGCCTGATGTCATTGTGCCTGGAAACCACAGGAGATTATTGTGAGATTATTAATTTTCAGCCTGTCTCGTTAGCCAAGTAATCGCATGTGCGACTGCCAGGCAAGAGATTGCAGGTTCGATTCCCGAGTCGGGCAAAGTATTACTAGCTTGTGAAATTTCTCAGTAGTAGCACGGAGTTTGGAATTGTGTCCGGTATATGGCAATAGGCTCACTCCCTATTACATGGGACTTTTAACATAAATAGTGAAAAGTGGGTGTTATGTTGTACAGTGGAATTAAGTGCCGTTATGTGCATTGCCGGGCTCTGCCTGCCCCTTCGGGGATAAAAGGCATGATAATGATCTATTTAATATTTTTCAGTAATTACGTCACACTCTTGTGGTGTACCCATGGTAGCGCTGATTGCTTGACACTTATTAAAACCTAACTCATCGTACTTAAATAAATATGACTAATATTGACCTCTCCGTAAAGGTACGTTAATGGTCAAAGGTCGGCCCATCACATATATAAAAAAGCCTTTTACTATATTTTAAGCCGTAGCAAACGACATCTTGCTAAAATACCTAAGTATTTAAGTTTTCATACAGTATGTTTACGCCTATAAATTAAAAATGCCTACTCAGTAATTGGCTTACAAAAACAAATAACACAATGCTGACCTCTACGATTGAACTAAACAAAAATCGAATAGTACTTTTCTCAACTTGGAAATCTAACTAAAACCTCGTATCTACACAAAATTAAGTAGTCGAGGCTGTGTAATGAATCAGCAAAAACAATACTTTTTCTGTTGCTCACAATATCAGTAACCAGGTCGACAGTAGTACTAAGGAGTTCAAAGAACTATTTCATTGTTTGTAAACACATACCTCTTATGGAGTCCTGGCATATCTCGCTAATATAAATAGTAGATTCCAGGAACACTGCGAATCCGAGACCTCCTATAAGCATCGCAGTTAGTACCACTTCTACTTGACTTGATAGTGCTATTATTGACCACGCGATCTGAAAATTATATTATAAGAAAGTTTCATTAAGCAGTTCAATGAGAATTATTACTCAAGAAAGTATAAAAGGACTGATATTAATCTGTCTCAGGAATCGAACTTAAAACCTTGAGATTGAGATGATCCTTTTTTGTCAACTCAAAATCATTCTTAACTTTAACCTGTAGCATCGTCATAAGATCATTAACGTCCTGTTTCTATAACCTATCTATCCGTAGATTTGCTTACTAGAAATAGAATTTTTGACACATTTTGTATGCAAATCTACAGATAGATAGATTACAGAAAATGGTCGTAAGTCAATTAAGCAATCAAATCTGATGCACGCTTCTCACGACTTATGCTCCCCTGGTACTCACCACGAAAATTAAAGAAGATAATGTGACAGATTTCTTTCTACCCAACCTGTCAAGAACCAACCCTGCAATAGGGTTGGCTATCAGGCATCCTATGGAAGGTAGACTGCCAAGGAGTGACACTTCTGCTGGTATCATAGGCCGATGAAGAGTTGTATTTTCTGATTTGAAGAGTAGAATGGTGGAAGATGGCCACGCCATCAATATGCCCATGTTGGCACAGGATAAGCATACTGGAATTACAAAAAAGTTAATTAAAACTAGATTCCTGATTCCCAGTTTCACACCCACAACACTAGAGGAGTTAGAAGTGGGTTGGCGGCCTTTTGAGGGCAAGGGTTTAGTAAGGCCCCGGTAAATTCTTTCACATGGCGAACTACACAAAGACCCAAGATCGTTGTTTCACTCTGGTTTTCTGTGAAGCCATGGTGAATTGGTGTCACTCGATCGAGTCCCGAAGCATGGGTATCCCACGAGTAACTAAGATTAATGATTTAACCAAAATCCTACCTACGTCCTAATTCATCGAAAAAGCTAATCAATTATAAAGCTTTTTTTAAAAAAAAGACGTTGCCCCACATTAGGATTTTCTCCTGTGTCGTTGGTGCGTTTACAAACATACAGATTCACATACACCAGACACCCAGCACAGAAACCACAATTTATGAATTACACAAAATGTTTTTCCGTGCGGGAATCGAACCCGCGACACGTTGCACGGCAGCCGGTTGCCCAGCCACCGCACCAACCGTTGACTGGCACAAACCAAAAGCTGGCAATTAAATAGCATATTAATTCAGTATTATACTAGATACCTACTTATTGTCGTGCCGATGATTTGAAGTGTAACTCCCATGACTTATCTTCGTTTATGATGACGCTGAAATCATTCATTCATCAAGTCGTTAATGATTCAAACAAAGTAAATATAAGCTCCATTGATATAAATACACAACCTTGTAAATGTGACCAGTACCTACCATACAGTATAACTAGGATTAAACACTTCAATTTTGTTATACTTAAAAATGTGCACCTCTGCCTACCCCTTCGGGGGTAAAAGGCGTGATATTATATATTTATTTATGTATTTTTTTATTTTGTCGTATAATAAAACAATACTTAGATAAAACGAATCAAAGTTTAGGAGTGGAGGCTAAAACGTCATTTCTACGTATAAAATGTACATAGAAGTGACGTCACGCAAAATTTCAAATCAATATATCGTCGAAAGTATTTGCATCTGTAAGAAAATAAAAAATACGTGTCTAATGATTTAAAATAATCTATCAGACGGACATTAAAATAAAAATTAGGCGTCTACCCTATTGTAGAGTTAACGACAAAATAAAAAATGAATAATATTACGCATGTAAAATTATTAAGTAGGAAGTAAGTGTATTATGTATTATTAATTATTTGATTTGCCATTACGACTATCAATATTTATATTTGCTTGTCAAACTTTTATAATTGAATGTCAAGCTTAGTCACCGGTCTACTATATTCTAGATAAGTTCTGGGTCTGATTTACATTATAGTGAAAAAAAACGTACATATTTATATCTTGTTATATAATATTCTTAATAGTAGCTTAACATATTATATGGTTGATAATTCTTTTTCTTTCTTTATCTTTTAATAAAATCGTTGCCCCACACTAGGATTTTCTCCTGTGTCGTGGGTGTGTTTACAAACATACAATTTCACATACACATGACACCCAGACCCGAAACAACAATTTGTGGATCACACTAAGTGTTGTTCCGTGCGGGAATCGAACCCACAACATGCTGCACGGCAGCCGGTTACCCAGCCACCGCACCAACTGTGCAGTCAAATAATTATGCAGTAGTTGTTTTCCAAATACCTATTTATATTTTTACACTTAAAAAAAAATCACGTCAATCCGTGCATTAATTGCTTTTTAAGACGTGAAAGAATGACAAACCAACACAATTCAACACATACTGTATTATTGTGAAGTGGAGATGAATAAAAAGATGGGACAATATATGTTTTTGAGATTACATATGTTTTTTTATGTTACAGTTTCTTATTTAGTGCGACAGCTGGGAAAGGGGTATCGGGTTCGATTCCCGGGTCGAGCAAAGTATTACAGGGTTTTTAAAATTTCTCAGTAGTAGCACGGAGTCTGGAATTGTGCCTGGTATATGGCAATAAGCTCACACCTATTACATGGGACTCATAACGTAAATAGTGAAAAGTGGGTGTTACATTGTACACGAGGCTTTGTTTAACCAGTAGAAACTGAACGTTAAATGTGCGGAAAGATGATGCGACGCGACACCAGGATAAACTGGTTTTGTATAGATTGATGTGTGGCCGTGTGTGTGCATAAAAGGCGTGATGTTATGTTATGTTTCTTACTTAGGTATGTTATCCTTTTTAAGACATGAGGAACACAAATACAATTTCTTCAAGAAGTACAGATAGTATACAGATAACTATTAGCTCTGAAAATAATTGTAATTTCAAATTTTTTTAGTCGTCACGGAAAAAGATAAGATCATTATAAGTTGGTACCTAAATTAGTTTAATTCCTTAATTATACCTAGACCTAACTGGTAACTTGGTCATTAAAAAAAATAAACAATGCCCTAGGTTGCATGCCGAATAACCGAATTATTTATTACCTAAACCTGCATGCAACGGTTTTTAAAAGTTCGGTAACAAAAACAGAAAATAATTCTAACTTTAGGTTGAAAATCTCGAAACCGCCAAATTAATTTATAATACTTTTTTGGTTTATTTCACTTTCCATATACAGGCGAAATTAATAACTGATTGTCAGATCCAAAATCAGAACCGTTCCTTTTTTTCTGTGCATACAACTAATGTCTAAAAAATCGATCTTAATAATAAAAGAAATTGCATTAATTTTTCCAATTATTCCTTTATTTAAATTAGTAAATTTTATTTTTTGAACTAAAATTAGATTTTTTTTTATTTTAATTTTATTAATCGGTTTATATCATGAATGAAACCAAAATATATTAAATTGAACTAAGTAGGATTATAGATAATAAAATCATTTGAGGATATAGGATTAAAAATAAAGATTTCTGATTGAAATTATTATTTACTAATTTCAGTCGTTAATCCCTAGGTACTAGGCTAACATAACAAACGGAAAATACCCACAATACATCGATACCAAATACAAATCAATAGACATACCAGTGTTGAACTATTTCAGCTGTCCCTTCGAATTCATGCCGGCCGTGTCACCAGTAACACATCACTCAACGGAATGAAGCTGCGACCTACCCAATTGACACTTTAAGTTTAAAGTATTATGTATGCTTCTTAAATAATATATACCTACAATACTTTATTAAGAATTAAACGACTAAGAAATTGATTAGGTATTTAGTATGCCATGAAATTTAGGCCCCTTGTAGAAATACGCTTCGAACAATATTATGCACTATTTCTTCTGCTAATTTATTATGTACTTTACTAC